GTCAGACTGGACCTTCCAGGCTGCCCTGGACAGCTTTTGTTGGGGGAAGGGGACTGTTGGCATTGGCCTGCTTTTGTCCTGCTGTTCGGTGAACACACATTTCTCTCCTTGTGTCTTTCTTACGGCACTTTTCTTGCCTACGTCTATCTTAGAAATGTTTTATTAGACAACTTGAAATTCATGTTAACAATGGGTGATGGGTATGTAAGGTTTTTTTTGTTTTTTATCCTCACCTGAGGACATTTTTACACTTAATTTTCAGATAGGGTGGGAGGGAGAGAGGGAGGAAGAGAGAGAGAAACAGACACATCGAGTGGCTGCCACCCACACGACCCTAACTGGGGCTGGGGACAAATGCAGCCAAGGTACTTACCCTTAGTGGGATCTGAACCCGGGTCTCTCTGGTCCGCGGGCTGACGCTCTAACCACTGAGCAAAACTGGCCAGGGCTTGAAGCATAATTATAAAAACCCGAAGTCAGTTTCCTAGCTTGACACCATTGTGCACCACAGGGAAGCTCCTAGTAGGTACTTCCTGCCAGGGGTAAGGGATCCCAGGAAATTGTATCGTTCCCTGTTTCCTTGCCCTTTTTTTTGTTTGTTTAAAGAATACTATGTATTCTATAACTAATATATTCAGGTTTTGTTTATGAGCTTTATAAAAAGAGAATCAGGAAATTTACAAATTGGGGGTTTCCTTCATTTTCACTGCTGAATAATATTCCACTGTGTGTATTATATTAGTCAGGGTTCTCCACTAAGATGTATGTGTATGAACAATTTATTTTAAGAAATTGGCTTACGTGATTATGGAGATCAGCAAGCCCAGATCAGGAACCAGGGAGGGCCAAGGAGAGTTGGTGCAGATGAAATCTGAAGGCTGGTTGGAATTTTTTTCATTGCTGTTCTGTTCAGGGCTTCAACTGATTGAATTGGGCCCACCCACATTAGGGAGGGCAGTCTACTTAACTAATTAAAATGTTAATCTTATCTGAAAACACCCTCACAGAAACACCCAGAGCAATGTTTGACCTAATATCTGAGCTTTTGGGGCGCAGTCAAGTTGACACACAAAATTAACCATCACATGCATAGGCCAAAATTTATCCTTCTCCTGTGGGCAGATACTGGTTTGCATCTCTTCATAAGGGCCTCCTCATTTCTCTAAGGTTTACACGTAGGAGCAGACTTGCTGGCTCCTGGGGTGGTGTGTGGGCAACATAGATGCCATGCCCAAGTGGCCATGCCAGTTTACTCTCCATCTGCCATGTATGGAGGTTCCCACCTCCTCCCCCACGCTGGCTCTTGTTATATTTCTTAATTGTACCCATTTAGTGGATGTCAAATGTTTTCTCATTCCAGTCTTAATTTCCCCTCCTGGTTACAGAGGAGATGAGCATTGTTTCACATGGGTATTAGCAGTTCATGAGCTCTCTTTGGTGACATGCCCGATCAGGTATTGTCCCATTTTTCTCTTGGGTGGTCTGTATTTTTCTGTATACCAGTCAATGTATTGGTTAAATGAGGTACAGATATGTCTCTAAGCTTGTGCATGTCTTTTCGTTTTCATTGTTTTATCTTTTGCTAAACACTTTAAATTTCAGTGTAGTGTAGTTGACTGTATTAATCTTTTCTTTTATGATAGGTATTTTTTTTTTTTTTTTATCCTCACCCGAGGACATTTTTCCATTTTTTGCTCAGGTAGAGTGGGAGGGAGAGAGAGGAACAGAGAGAGAGAGAGAAACATCGACGTGAAAGGAACACATCGAGTGGCTGCCACCTGCACGACCGACCAGGGCCGGGGACAAACTGCAACCGAGGTACGCGCCCTTTGCGGGAACCGAACCCCGGTCTCTCAGGACCGCAGGCCGACGCTCTAACCGCTGAGCAATACCGGCCAGGGCGGTATTTTTAATGCATTGTAAAGGAAATCGTCCCTGCCTTGAGGTCATAAATATATAATTTTCTATATTTTGTTTTAACATTTTTAAGGTTTCGCTTTTCAGGTTAAACCTTAGTCTATCTGAAGTTGATTCTTTTTTTTTCCCTTTCCTCACCCGAGGACATTTTCCCATTTTTCGTTCAGATAGAGTGGGAGGGAGGGGGAGAGAGAGAGAGAGAAACATCGACGTGAAAGGGACACATTGAGTGGCCGCCTCCCACACGACCCTACCAGGGCCGGGGACAAACTGCAAGCGAGATACGTGCCCTTAGCGGGAACCGAACCCGGGTCTCTCTGGACCACAGGCTGACGCTCTACCTGCTGAGCCAAACTGGCCAGGGCTGAAGTTGATTCTTTAAAAGAAAATTTTTTTAATCCTCACCGGAGGATATTTTCTATTTTATCTTCAGATAGCGTGGGGGCGGGGGGGGGGGCGGGGATATCGACTGGTTGCCTCCCAAATGACCCTGAGCAGGGTCGGGGAATGAACTGCAACTGAGGTACATGCCCTTGACCGGAATCGAACCTGCGACTCTTTGGTCTGCGGGCTGATGCTCTAACCGCTGAGCCAAACTGGCTAGGGCTGGAGTTGATTCTTATAACTGATTTTTGTGTTTGGTGTAGAGTCCAGTTTTATTTTTTTTCAAGTAGATGATTAATTGAGAGTCAGCATCAGCATCACTATTGAGTGTCCTTCTATGCCTTGGGACACTGTCTTTATCACAGAAGTTTAGAAATATGTGTGGGTCTTGCCCTGGCTGGTTTGGCTCAGCGGTTAGAGCGTTGGCCTGTGGACCAGAGAGTCCCGGGTTCGGTTCCCACTAAGAGCATGTACGTGGGTTGCAGTTTGTCCCCACCCCGGTTGGGGTCATGTGGGTGTCAACCACTCGATGTCTCTCTCTCTCTCCCCCCCACCCTTCCTCCTGCTCTATCTGAAGATAAATGCAAAAATGTCCTCGAGTGAGAAAAAAAAAATATGTGTGGGTTTCTGTTTTTCTAAATTAAATTTTATTTTTTATTGCAGTAAAATATACATAATGCAAAATTTACCATTGTAGCCATTTTTAAGTGTACAATTCTGGGGCACTAAATACATTACCATTGTTGTGCACCGCCCCCCCCCCATCTCCAGAACTTTTTCATCTTTCCGACTAAATCTCTGTACCCACCAGACAACAACTCCCTTTTCCTCTTCTCTAGCCCTGTGGGTCTGTTTGCGTTTTGCACGTGCTTGGCATACCATCAGAGAGGCACCCTCCTTTCCTCCATCCTACCTTTCAGTAGAAGTATTTTAGTTTTATCTTCCTTATGTTTTTTTTCCTCACCCGAGGACACTTCCCATTTTTTGTTCAGACAGAGTGGGGGGGGAAGGGGGGAGGAAGAGAGAGAGAGAAACATCGACGTGAAAGGGACATATCGAGTGGCTGCCACCCGCACAACCCAACCAGGGCCGGGGACAAACTGCAACCGAGGTACATGCCTGGGTCTCTCTGGACTGCAGGCTGATGCTCCAACTGCCGAACCAAACCGGCCAGGGCTTATCTTCCTTATGAGTAAATCACAAGAATGAGGACTTTGTCTTAATGGATCTCTGTGTCCCTTAAAAGCACTTAACTTTGTGGGGAGCATATATGGTGGGAGCTTTATAAATGGTAATAATTGAGCATTGTCATTGAGTTTGAGAGAAGTAACAAGTGAAACTGAGGTTCAGACCTGTGAGAGAGTGATAGGAGAGTCAGAGTGTGTCCGAAACATCACCTAGGTAACAGGCGCGGTGGGTAGGGTGCACTGCAGCTCCGAGAGGGCACTAGCCAAGTGGGCTTGCACCTGTTAGGCCCTGGCACACCTCCCGGAAGCTTGGCCTGGTCTGCAGAGCAGACACATGCGCTCTAGATGGCTGCCTTGAACTGGTTTGGGGTGGAGAAAGAAAGGAAAGAGTGCTGGCCTTCTTATAGCTGAGGAAACCGAGGCTCAGAGGGAAATCAGCGTGCGATTCCACAGCTGGTAGTCTGTGAGTTGAGGCTACACTTCTATTCCTGAGACTTGGCATTCACACCTGAGCCTTGTGTGCCCAGAGATGAGGCTGCAAGGGGTTTTTTCTTTCTTCTTTCAGCATGTGTTGTGCCCCTAGGTGCTAAGTCCTGTCATGGTGCTTTCCAAGGACACAAGTGCAGTGAGGTGTGATGCGGAAGGGACTGGGAGACAGGCACAGGCCTGCTTCCGCGGCAGCTCAGAGAGGCGAGCAGCCCACTCCACTGGGTGTCTGGGGAAGGGGGCCGTCTCTGGCATTGTTGTGGGGCTTGCCAAACCTGCTGGAGCACAGGCACGTGGCCGGAGAGCTTGCCCATGAACTTTGCACCTGTCAGTCCAAGGTGCATTTGGAGAGTGACTAGTATAATACAATGTTATAAAAAATGAATGGAAAAAGCATGTGTAGCCTTTTTCTCAATGTGATGTTCAAGGGTGGTGCCTCAGTGGAGGACTGCTGGGCAGTGACACTGCCCTGGAGATTCCCAGTTGAGTAATTCGGAGTACTGGGGAGTTTCGACCTGCATTTTGCAGGACATTCTTCAATTCCTGGCCAAGTAGAAATAAAGTTGTTCAGGAGGAACTTGCCTCTTCGATGAGAAGCAAGTGTGGCAGATTCTGTCATTTTCAAATTGTTATTCTTGGAGAACAAGTGTGACCTTTTTTAGAGTGTCTTCTGTCTTTAAAAAAGATTATTTTTAAAAGCAGCACTGCTGCCCTGGCCGGTTTGGCTCAGCGGTTAGAGCGTCGGCCTGCGGTCCGGAGAGACCCGGGTTCGGTTCCTGCTAAGGGCATGTACCTCGGTTGCAGTTTGTCCCCGGCCCTGGTTGGTTGTGCGGGTGGCAGCCACTCGATGCGTCCCTTTCACATCGATGTTTCCCTCTCTCTCTCTCTTCCTCTCTCTCCCTCCCACTCTATCTGTACAAAAAATGGAAAAATGTCCTCAGGTGAGGATTAAAAATAAATAAAAAATAAAATAAAAAATAAAATAAAAGCAGCACTGCTAGTGTTCTCTGTTTGTGTTTCAGTAATTTGTTGCAGGGCATTTTGAGGATTATTTCACATGAAGTCTCCTATGGCTAACATTCGAGTGTGAGCCGTGTTTGCTGCAGCGCGTGGGCAGATGTCTGGCTGCTCCATGGAACTGCTCACTTATGCTTTAGCCTCAGCCACAGAGGACTTCTCGAAGCCGGTTCTGAACGAATTAAATCCCACATGCTGTCCATAATTTGAAAATTCAGGTGTGTGCTTTTATTTCTAGAACTGTGTCCTATTTAAAGTGGAGGAGGCTACTGTTCTAGAGAAGCACCTACAAAGCCGTTAAAAGCATTAGTGCCTTCTTAGTCACTAAGTGTAGGCTCGCGGCTCCGAGCGTGGTCCCAGGCCGTAAAGACCCAAGGCAGAATTCTGCTTCTGCTGCTTCCAGCCCCTCTCCCTGAATGGAAGTACAGCTTCAGGTTTCCTCGTGCACACTTCTGATTACAATTCATCTTTTCTCTAGATACATAAAAAACTAGTTTTTAAAAATGAATTATCATGTGGTGGTTTGTAATACCTCTTCCTTTTATTGTTTGCAGCCTAGCAGGAATTGCAGACCGTCAAAAATTGCTGAATGATTGAAGAGAGGTGCTGCAAGGGTGGGCTGGAGGGGGGAGGACTGTAGAGGCTGGGGACAGCAGGGAGGGTGGGCAGCAGAGAGACCAGCCGGCGCCTGCCAGCACTGCGGCGGAGTGCGGAGACCAGGCAGGGACAGTCTCGTGGTTTGGAAGTCATTTCTCAATGTCAGCACAGCTCATTCCCACAGTCAGATGCTCTGTGTCTAGCGGTGTACTGCCGTCCTTTGCCTTGTGTGGGTTTGCCTGTACCCTGCAGAGGGCCCGCCTTCATTTCAAGGTGCTTACTTTCTTTGAGATTTTAAAAACAAATCCTTATTTTTTTCCTTAGGCTTTTATCTTTCCTGGCTTAATTTAAAAATGAAAACCACATTGTCACTGACTCTTTCTTGTGAAGGATATAGTGAATATTCATTAGCCAGTTAAATTTTTTATATTATTATTTCTGTAATAAAGTTTTATTTTGGAAAAATCTTAGATATGTAGACATAGAAAAGTTGCAAAGATAATAAGAGTTCCCATATGCCCTTTACCCACTTTTCCCTAATGGTAACACGTTGCATAAACACAGCCCATTTGTCAGAATTAAGACATTAACATTGGTACATTGTTATTAACTAAATTCCAGACTTGACTCAGATTTCACCAGTTGTTCCACTATCCCAGGATCCAGTCCAGAGGATCACATTGCGTTTACTTGTCAGGTCTCCTTCGTCTCCTCGATCTGGGCTGGTTTCTGTCTGTCCTCGTTTTTCATGACCTTGACAGTTTTGAAGAGTGCTTCTTAGTTGATAATTGGTGGAATGGCCCTAGATTTGCATTTCCCCGATGTTTTTCATATTATTGAGTTTTGGGGAAGAAGACTGCAGAGCTGAGGTGCCCCTCATCACATCACAGCAGGGAGCGCAGGGCCGGCAGCATGACTTAGCCCTGTGGAGTTCACCTCGGCAGTATCTTCACTCCTTGGTTTTATACATGTTGAAGTGGCTCTGGTTCCCCATAAATTTGCTGGTCCCTTCAGGACAGGACCCCTGCTCTGTCTGCCTTGTGCCTCCTCCCACTGTGAGGACTTGTGTTCTGGATGTCAGAGTCAAGGTGGACACCAGGTCCGTAAAACACATTTTGGTCACGTGATTCTGTAAGCACTTAAGTTTTCACAATCATAGGTGAAACAAGATTGGCCGTGTGCTGATATTTGTTGAAACTATAGGTTATTATTCTAGCCTCTCTACTTTTTGTTTGACATTTCCCATAAAATAATAAAGATTAAAAAAAACATTTCCAATCTACAGACATAATGAATCCTAGATTGTTTTTGTAGCGAAGGTGTTATGATGTTGGTTGTTGCCAGAGTTGTTACGCTTTATTTTTTTTCTTTCCCCAAGGCCTCCTTAGGAAAAAAAAAAAAAACTTACATCTAAACCAATATTAAGTGGTATTGCTAGTTAACTGAGTAACAATAATATTCCTTAACTTCTTTTTAAAAAAATTCTCGCCAGAGGGTATGTTTATTGATTTGAGAGAGAGGAAGGAAGCAGGGGAGAGAGAGAGAGAGAAACATTAATGTGAGAGTAACATCAATCGGTTGCCTCTCATATGTGTCCCAACTGGGCATCAAACCCACAACCTAAGTATGTTCCCTGACCGGGAATTGAACCAGCAACCTTTTGGTGCATTGAACGGCACTCCAACAAAGTGAAATACACAGGCCAGGACTAGAGACCATATCTTCTAAATTGAATGTATATAACACCCAACAGTGTTACAGGATTTAGATTCATTCATTTATTGAACACCCAATGTGTACTTACTACATGCTACATTGAAGTATGGTATTGAAAATCCTGAATAAGAGTTCATATGTTTCTTATTTCTTGGCACATAGGGGTTCTTGATTCTTGTCCATCTTCCCCATCTAATTTTTCTGGCACTGAACCAAAATGGAGGAGAAAGGAGAAGATAGTGGTGGCATTCTGGAATGTTTGGGATCACCATTTCATTGATTTTCGTATTTATAACTCTGCTGGTTTCACAGAGGATTTAAATTGGTTGCTTGGACTACAAAGGAAAAACAGAAGTGGCAGAACAGAATTTTCCCTTTGTCATCCCCAAAGCAACAACAATAAAATGCATGTTTAGTTCTGATGAGGACCTCAGAGATCACCTAGAGTCCTCCCATGGCATCCAGGTGTGTCTGTGGGTCCAGGACAGGGCACTGAGCGAACCGCTGTGTGACATGGGCAAGCACTTCTCCCTGAGCTATAGTTTTTTCATCTGAAAAATGCAGGCACAGACCCACCTTGCAGGGTTATCATTGTATGTACAGGTCCTGGCACATGTGTATAAAATGTCATAAACCAGTATCTAATCTTATTATCTGTTTGCAGGGTTTTTAAACACCAGTTCATGATGATATTTTTACTGTCAGGCAACCAAAATATTAATAGTAGTTATTCTTTTATAAAGCTAAAGATATTTAGTTTGAGCCCTGGCCAATGTGGCTCAGCGGTTAGAACGTCGGCCTGCGGTCCAGAGAGACCCGGGTTCGGTTCCCGCTAAGGGCATGTACCTCGGTTGCAGTTTGTCCCCGGTCCTGTTTGGTCGTGCAGGTGGCAGCCACTCGATGTGTCCCTTTCACGTCGATGTTTCTCTCTCTCTTCCTCTCTCTCCCTCCCACTCTGTCTGAACAAAAAATGGAAAAATGTCCTCGGGTGAGGATTAAAAAAAAAAAGATATTTAGTTTGAGGTTTTTCATTTATTCTGAGGTTATATGACTTGCTTTTTAGTGTTAAAATGCCTTTCTTACTATTAAAATGTCTTTGAAATAAAATAATGGGAGGTAAATTTTGTCTTGTTTTAAAAAATATATTTTTATTAAATTTTTAGAGAGAGAGGGAGAGAAAGATAGAAACATCGATGTAAGAGAGAAACACTGATTGATTGCCTCCTGCACACTGCCTACTGGGGATTGAGCTCGCAACCCAGGCATGTGCCCAGACCAGGAATTGGACTGGGACCTCTCAATCCATGGGACAATGCTCAGTCCACTGAACCACACTGGCCGGGCGTATCTTTTGTGTGTTTTTTTAATGTCCTTAGTTGGCAAGATAAAGTTGATGGCCTTGTGTTGGGTGCTTCTCTTGCCCTTAATAAAAGACACTGGTCAGCCTAGCCAGTGTGGCTCAGTGGTTGAGTATCGACTCATGCACCAAAAGGTCACCGGTTCGAATCCTGGTCAGGGCACATGCCCAGGTTGTGGGCCCAATTCAGTAGGGGGCATGCAGGAGGAAGCCAGTTGATATTCTCTCTCATCAGTGTTTCTCTTTCTCTCTCCTTTTCCCTTTTTCTCTCTCTAAAATCAATAAAGGCAAAAAATTTTTTTTAAAAGGACACTGGTCAGTAAAGTTGGGGACTTGCGTCTGGTGTCCTGTTGTCCTTGGGGGAGGAGGGAGGAGGAAGCCACAGCCAGTTAGGGGAGGTGACAGTGAGAGGTACAGAGTGACACAACCCCTTCTTTACCTGACTCAGCTGAGAGCCCAGCTTTCCTGGGAGTTTTCCCACATCTCTTCCCAGCTCCCCACTCCTGATTCCCCTCAGCGCTCCCTGCTTAGGTCTGTTAGGTAGCACTTGTCACACTGTGTGGTCCTGTAGTAGTCTACCCTACTAGACTCTAAGCTACTTAAGGACAAGTGTGGCGAATTATTTAGCTCATTACTTCCAGAGCCTAGCACAGAGAAGGTACATATAAATCAGTGAGGGGAAGAATCACACCGACAACCCCCCAGTCAAAGGTTAACATAGCATACTTCTAACCTCACCACAAACCTTTTTTTTTTTAATCCTCACCCAAGGATATTTTTCCATTTATCTTCAGATAGAGTGAGAGGGAGGGAGAGAGAGAGAAAGAGAAACATCGATGTGAGAGAGACACATCGATTGGTTGCCTTTCGCATGACCTCGACAAGGGCTGGGGACCACACCAAAGCTGAGGTATGTGCCCTTGACCAGAATCGAACCCACGACTCTTTGGTCCCTGGGCCGACACTCTAACTGCTGAGCCAAACTAGCCAGGGCACCACAAACCTTTTAAACACTCCTTTCTGAATTCAGACCTTCCTTCTGGGATAATTGGTCATCTCAATGTGTTACCCGAAGAAGGCTCAGGCTGTCCCCAGAACTGTGGGGCTGTGTGACACCTTTACCAACAAGGTGTTGTGTCAGAAGTTCAGCTGTTACTTCCCATGATGGTTTCTTATAAAAGGCATAAGAAAAAAATTAACATGTTTTCTATCACATTGGTGCTTTGAAGTTTTCCCACTTGGGCTTTCTGCTTTAATTAGTCTGGCTTCTTTTTTGTTTTGTTTTCAGCTCTGGGCAAGTTCCAGAGAAGTAAAGAAGCTTATATAAAGGGTTTTAACTTTTATATTGCCAAAGATAGAACTGGTACTTAGCTCAGCTTGTCTGGCACCTTCTTTGATAGAGAATGTTAGAAATTTGGCTTGCTTTATTCCTTTTTATGTATATATGTGGGGAGAGTAAAAGCAGGATGGCTCTATTTTTGTCATGGTTTATGAACAACATGAAAGTTTAACAAGCAGGATTTTAACGCAGCCACTACAACAAAAAAA